AAGTTGATGCTGACGTCATACTGAAGTTAATGCTGATGATGTCGTCTAGAGGGACGATGAAAGCTTCACGACTAAACAACCCAGCTCAGAGAACACAATATAACCAAGAACATTAACTAGTCTTCAGATATTTGATGGTGATTTGATTTTTAAGCATTTGAAACAATATAATTATAGTCAAAAGGGATTGAGGTGAGACTGCAAACTCATAATAAACGTGCATTACTCTTTGCACACTATACGACACCCCAACAAAAGTGATTATTATTTTGACTATCTGAGATAGCCGTGGTTTAGCGGATTCAGTTGATACTGGGTGATGATTGAAGGTGAAATGAAAATTTGGACTGTGGCCTCGTAGCTCAGTTGGTAAAGCACTGAACCGGAAACCCGGTGGTCGCTGGTTCAAACCCCGCAGCTGTCCGAATTTCCCTATCACCTTTAATCATCACCCAGTATCAAAAGTAGTCGTGTGCTAATGCGATTGGAAAATAGGAATTCGGAGAAGTGCTTAACTAGTACAGCTTTCCAAGGAGAATTTTGGACACTGTGTATAAGTTAAATAAATAAGCCATACTGCCTTTTAAATTGCCACCTTCATCTACAAGTGGTTTAAATTCCATTTTAGAAGCTCCTTCTCCTTCTAAAAAGAGTTCAAGTACATGTTATTTACTACTAGGGCAGATGTCTTTACGGAGATAAGAATCCTTCAAAATCAGATTTTGACTGCGAACAAATTGATAAAGCCAGTTAGCCAGCCAATCAGTAGTGATAATTTAAGTTCACCAAATGAATACCAAACTAAATTTTATATTCAAATGGTCCTAATCCGATTACAATGCATACGGTGTTTTATTACAAGCCATTTTTCTCATTAATCAAGGTAACAAGTAAGCATCAAGAACAAGATGTTGAAACACCTTTAAACCATGTCGATGGCCTTTTAGTGCTGAGTGTTATTTGGTACAACCAAAGTTAATTATCAGGCATCTGTGTACATGGAAGTGAAGGTGTGTGAAAACTTGGCTATCTTTCCTCTTTTCAATGATAATTGGATGACAAAATGGAACTAATTTTTGTTTTACTTAGATATAACTCATCGGTGACTATCGACAGGATTCAGTTTATGAGTTTCATCCTCTTAAGAGCCAATACCCGCCGCTTGAAATGATATAAAGTCATCCGTTAAGCTAACGACTTATGATATTCACCTTTGACTGGACGAGTATATTGGTGTTAGATCATAAATCTTTCTCACTGTACAAACATTTTGATACTGTATCTAGTTTTGTTTTGGTAATAATTACTAATGTTTGGTAGGGGATTCTAAGAAGTATATTTCATCCTACATAAAATTCATTAGCTGTATGCTTTTGTATTTTAGTGGGGGAACCAACACTTGTACAAATACTCACTCATTGACCTTTAACACTTAGTGTACCGCATAGGACAAATGGGTCTGGTTAGGATGAATTATTTTTCTTCTTCACTAGCTAACTGATGAGCACTAAAAACTCCGGAGAAATGGTTCAACTTTACCGCCCTGGGTTATAGACAACACCAGTCTGTTGTTTGGTCTTGAGGTTAGAAAATGTAGCTGTTCAGCAAGTTCGAAGTAAATTTCACCCGATGCTGTGAACTAACTGCTATAACCTTCTGTACTTGAAACTTCCGAGAACAAGAAATGTCAGTAATGTGGTTGATTACCAGCCTACTCAGCGACTTTTTGAATTTCTGTCAAAATCAGTAAGAAGTGGAGCTAATTTAAGAAAAAGGTATAGTCAAGAAGACTTTCATTCTTTGTAAATTCATGTCTAAGTGAAAAATTTAGCAGAATGAAGATTTTTTCATGCTTTTCATGGATAGATTAATGCTTAATAATATACCTATCTGAAGCATAACCTGTTGTCTATTCTTCACTTTTAAAACACTCAGAGAACTTGAATATAGCGATTGCTGTCTACTGAATGATCCAATGATGTATGAAGATGCTGTTGGTCAGCATCAACAAACGAAAAGCAATCGTTCATTGACCACCACCACGCCACCGCCAGCACCACTGCAGTCTACAGCATCAGTACAGCCACTGAACAAAGCCATATTTAATTATAATAGTGATACGAAGCACAGAATGAATGAATACTTACAGAGTGAGTATACCGCGAGGATGTGTTATACGGACAATGATGATCCACCACAGAAACGTCCACGTCGATGTAATACAAATAACACCACTCATCAGGAAAATAACTGTGTCAGTGCTAATAATAATAATAATAATAACAATAATAATAATAATAGTAATAATAATGGTAACAACGGTAGTACTCAAAACTCTGTATTTAAGTCTCAAGTCATGTCTACACATCTGACAAACAATACAGACTGCTACTTCGATAATCACAGTCAACATAATTTTAAGTCTACAATCTCTACAGATGCAGCACAGCTGCCATATGATATATGGGTAACAGAATTACAAAAACAACAGCAACACCAAGAATATTCAGAACAAACATATCCATCTGTCTACCAAGAAAAAACCAACAAACTATTGAATTACAGAGGTTCCAAGTATTCAGTGTACAATGAGTGTTCCAAGGAGAATGAAAATCATATTTCGACACCACAATGGGCACTTCTAAATTTAGATGCGAATGCTCAGACTCATAATCAACATCCACATGACTATCCTATACAGTCTCACTCGTTAATCAACAATTCAACAGCTATATCAGATGGAACAGCAACACTACTACCACCACCGCCTGAGACAATCGCAAAAGTATGCAGTGATATGGATTTTTTGTGCAAAACATTGGATATCTCCCGACAACAACAACAGCAACAAAGACAACCACTGACGTTTGATAAACAATTGATACATGTGGTGAAAACGATGACACACTTGACTGATTCGAATGAGCCAACCTATTCGAGTGTCAAGCTCTCGATAATGAATAATCTAAGACCAGACGGTCAGGGTAATGAAGCGGATGAGGAGGAAGATGATGACGATGAAGACTATAATGAAGGGGTACACGAAGATGACGAAGATTGAAATTTCAGTTGGTGAAATACTTTTAAATGAATGAAGAAAATTCCCAATAATAAGTGTAACTGTTTTTCAACCTGTTTCATATAAGCATACACTGCTAATATCAAAGCAGCAATGCGACAATAATAACACTAGTAACATCATTATCACTGCCATGACAAGCAATTTAAACTGTTGTTTCAAAACTTCTCAATAATTCAATTGAAGTATTCAAACAAATGTCATAACCAAAAGAACCGATTGAAAATGTCATTCTTCTCTGCCAATAAACAATTCAAACACACAAGTTATGCCAAAAGTTCTGAACTTCTAACTTCAAATTTATTTAGAAAGAAACTGTGATCCAGCTATGCAGTTCAGTGGCATTAATTATTTGATTTTGAACAGATAACTACAAGTTAGATTACATCTTTTTATCTCATATATTTATTTACATGCAGAATGGGGATGAAATCCAACACCAGAAAATGAATATTATATTGTTTTTGTATTCAAAAGTATTATTATGATAGAGTGTAATGGATTCATCTCAGTTCCCCAGAAATGAAACAAGAAGGGGAAGATGAAAAAGAATCCAATATCCTAAATCAATTGTTATCTTCCTCAGCTCTTTCAATCTTCACTTTCTACCATTTCATCTTACATCATTTTTATTTTTATTTTGCACAAATCTGTAAATCTGCATCAACGTTCACACGCACATACATATACGAGCGAATGCTGAAATGATGAGTTTGTGAAGAAAAACATAATTGAGCTACAATAGACCCCAATTATTGTCATTACCATTATTCTCCTTTGATTTAATGAGCTTTTGATTTTGTTCCCAGTTGATTTGATTTGGTTATTTGTAAAAAAAATGCATAGAATAAATAGTATTAGAAAAAAAAACTTCATTAGGTAGTTTCAAGCAGCTAACTAGTTTGTTGATAATTCTGTTTGCTAGTTAAGATCATCTGGAAAATAGAAACTGGCCAACTGGCAGTTACCTTGGTTACCTAACTGCTGAATCCAGTTCCTGGTCTCACTCTGCTATGGATGAATTGAGTTCCAGAAGCGAAAGTTATTTTTATTCGAATTTCAATGGGAACACCAGCGGGTACAACCAGCTGGTGAGTTCAAAGTAGGATAAAACATGTGACCTGAATTCTTCTGCTAGTCACTAGCAAGCAAATTTCTTCTACACACATCTAGCCAGAAATGAGTAGGCCAATGAAAATAAAGATGATAAATGTCGTTCAGCATCACCAAACCAATAAAAAATGATTTCCAGGTGTTCCTTAATTTTCTTAAACTCTTCATCTATCATTCGGCCATGTGAAACGTGAAGGAAAACCACTTCTATTCTGAAGTTGACTGAACATTGGAGATTAACCAATTTCATATTATCGAATCTTAGGTGTTGACTGGATTATATCGGAGGTAGCGGGCAACTATCTAACATTAACTTTTATTTCTGCGCAATAAATAATGTACAAGAAAACCAGATTTTTGTGAAATAAGATAAAGCTGACTGTAAAGATTGTCAGGATGTTTATAATAATGGGTTACTCTGTGAGTGCCTATGAAGGGATATTCTGGTGCGTTGCTAAAGTGAACCTCCAAACCGAAACAGTCAGCTATTGAACATTCATTGGGGAGTAGAATGGATCAGTTCACAAAGAGATATCACATAATGAATCCTTTTCTCAGCTAAAACCTTACGTAGTGCTTGCATAGTAAGATGGAAGTGGGCGGTTTATGAAACATGAACGTAGTTGAAGCTAAGTAAGGCGTTGTGCATTGAGGAGTTCTTGTAAATATCTCAGAGGTGAATGAACTTTTGCTGTTAAACCTTAATCGTGCTAATGGGATAACGAAGCATGAAGAATTATATTTTATGTACTTCATTTCTTGTGGAATCTGAATATAGATCACCAAAAACTAATGTTCACTGGAGAGCAGACAAAAGCAAATTTTTCGATGAGGTTTTGAGAAATAAGACAGTACTTCCACCTGAACTCTGTCCTAAGCAATCCCAATTCATACAGTCTTCTTTTGAGAAGAACAGACATAATTTAGTTGGTGATGGGGAGCAGTGGAATTCCAGATACACATTTTATCCTATTTTGGAGTCTTCAGTTGGGTTTACCCGGCTCTTAGTGAGTAATGGTGTTCCCACTGAGCCCATATGATAACAGAGGTCGATAAGTTTGATCCAGCATAACAGCTGCGAATAACAAGTAGCAATAAATAATAATAGTAATAAACAGACATGGCTCTCCAATAACAAACTGACAATAGCGGGGAAGGTTTGTAGCTCAGGATGAGTGGGACTATTGTTTGATGTTCTTGAAGCTTTGATTTTTATTTTCAGACTTTCATCAGCAGAGTGGAGGACTTCATCAGCACTTACTTCGCCTAGTAAGCTAATAAAATGTCTATTAATGAACACTACAGATAAGAGAACCACTGAAAACTTGAAAGCAATGCATAGCTGTTATGTTTAAGTTTGGGGCCCTTCAGCAGTGAGTACCAACGTCTCATGCGAAAGTGAGCACATGAAAGTCAGATCTCATTGTGAGAAAGTTATCATTCAGCCACTGCATTGAATTTATCGGTCAACATGTTTCTAGTTGTGCGAATTGGGGATGTAGCATGACTAGTATCCAATACCATCGGTGAGTAATTGTCATCATATGCTACTTGATTTACCCCGTACATAATGCCTTTACATCAGACCTTTTTGAAGTTTACATTAATTCGCCACTATTGAGCGCTTGACATGACGAATAAGGTCAAGTCAACCAAATAGTTCAAATGAATCATCAAGTTAATAGCCAAAGTAATCGCAGGTATCCAAACATGATTTTTTTAAGCAAAGGTGACCTTCCGAAAAATTGACATCCACTTGGTTATTCAATTTATGTATCTGAACGGAGTACTACTGTAGTGGGCGTTGTTGATAAGAATGGATATAAGTAGTATATGTTGAGAAGGTGGCAGATACCATAGGGAATTACCAGCACTGGGTAAGGATTCCGCCAAGAGAAACTCGAGACAAGGCAGGTGTATGAAGAGCAAATCAAGATAGAAGGAGAAGAGGAAATGAAGCATATTTTGCAAATGACTGTTTTAGTACAAGGCGCACAATATCTAACGACTACTGTCCCACTGGATGACAATAGACATTCTTTCCTGCATACCTGTCTTTTAATTCTTTGCTTCTAAATACACCAACGACTCGGATGTTGATGGTTTATTTGGTATGCCATTATGAAATTGGCAACCGTGGATGATTCAAAACGAACAATCATACCAACTTCCTCACCAAACAGTCCTTGGTGAAAGAAATGACATGGTCATTTGATTATTTGAGACAGCCGTAGTTTGGTAGACTAGTTTTTATGTTGGGCCACAGGGCCGGAAACCCGGTGATCGCTGGTTCGAATCCGGCCACTGTTCAAACTTTCATGTCACCTTCAGTCGTCACCAGTATAAATGGCATTGTCGTATTGTCTGTCGAACTACAGCCGGCAGTTATTCAAACAAAAGGTTACGTGGTAAAATGGTCTTCATATACACTTGGTATGATATAGTTTTACTGGTTCTTAGAAGTAGATAACCACTTGGAAATCGATGAAATGCCCCACCGAAATAGCCGAAAGTACTGTATCATTTTAGTTCCACCTTTTTTTGTTGTTTACACCCATCCAATATTTCAGGGTGTACCAAGTTTAAGCATTTTACAAAAAGTTTTAATCCAGTGTTGTTTTTTTGAAACAAAAAAGAAAAGTCATTCCATAGACATTTCAAGAAAATTAGCCTCAACTATCTTGTCTAATAAAACCGTTTAATTAATAAAATTTCTGTCATTTTAATTGTGTAATCTGACAGTTTAACTCCTTTTTTTAGCCACACAAGAAGTAGTGTAAAGATGCACACAAGCATACACAAACGATAGTTGTAAAAATAACTAAATAAGAGGCTGAGAAATCTTTACGCAAGTGTGATGTGTGTGCTTGTTTGTCTGTATGTGATGACATTTTATTCCACGTGCTTTGACAGTGATTAGGTGGTGGCGAAAAGTTGTTTCTGACAAATGATGAGTATCATTAATTTTTCTAGCATGAGACTATGCATCTTCTGTGAACAGTAACTTGTCATATTTATTAATTAAATTTGAATTATATCCACTAGTAGGAGGTAGGGTTGATCTCTCTGCATGTATATACATATATAATAAAACATGCACCTCAACACTTACGATCAACATCAACTTTGTAAAGAGAGGAAGGCATGGGGAAGATATGTCATTTTTTATTATGTTTCTGGTGCACTAAACAGATGAAAGAATGAACCTAATCTATACAGGACGTGATTATTGTCTTGAATAACGAATATATACGAATTTTTGTTTACCGTGGAAGTTAGTTTTGCTAACGTTTCAAGTTACATGAACCATTTCTGTTGATAGTGTTGTGATAAATGATGTTTTACCTCATATTTTTTTCCTATTGCTAATTGGGTTGAATTATCTAACTTCTGATGATATATGGGTTTCTGTGCGGATGGCCCAATACTGAAGGTAATTTCATTGCTACAGTTCATAACATTTGTTATATATACTCACAAAGCCAACTAAGCTATTTTTCACTTGATGAACAAGTTTTGTAAGGGGTTTTTTTCCCCATAAATATGGAGTGATTATAAAAGTCAACTTTAGAATGCTTAACAGAAATCCTCTA